AAAAATATTTATTTCTTGAAACCAAATAAGAAAACTCAGTACAAAGCATCTTGGATCACAATGACTACTACGAGTCCAAAAAATGCTTGAGATCAAGTAAGAACAAATCATGACGAGAGAGATAACTACAAAATAAAATATAAATCTTTAAAAAAAAGGAAATTCCGAAATAAACAAAAGCATCAATATATTTTTTTTGAGAATACTACATTTCGCGAAGTATTTATTCAAGATTACCTGCCATGATTCTAATTTAACGGTCAAATCCCGTAATAAACTTTCGATGGTGCTTTCATACTGTCCAGCTAATGTTGCTAATTTTCTCTTTTGCTCTTCCTTCAATTTTACTATCATTTCCCTATGTTCTTCCTTTGGCGTGGAGCTTAAAACCTGAAATCCTTCCAAAATTAAATTTCGAAGCAAAGGAATTTTGCTCTTTAAAAGATGAAAAAATAAAATGTTCAATCCAGTTTCGAAAGATACTATAATATAAATCTTTAAAAAAAACAAAAATGAAATTTAGAATGCATACTTGAGCTTGCAGCAGTTTGCTTTGCCTCAACTGTGTTTTCACTGCCTGTCGATATTGTTTTCTTATTTGTAACTCTTTTGCCTAAACTAACAAATTAAAGAAAAACAATAAATCATTTCGAAATAATAAAATCCTACAAAACTTTCATTCTTCAAATTAAAAGTGATGCAGTAAAAGACATGAAATGTATCAGTTGCTTTATTTTTTAAAAAAAAATGCTCAAACCAAAAAAAATCAGTAACTATCTTATGAGCTTTTCTGAATAATTAGATTACAGCAAAACCTTCAATTCTTTGGGTTGTTGTTTTGATTGCAAAGCATGTCGCTTCATAGTTTCATCTGTAACTCTCTGATTATACTGTAACTGATTTGAAGTTTCAGCTTCATGCTGTTTTTCCAAATGTCGTCGCTTCATGCGCTGACTCTCAATTAGAAGTGATAATTCAAGTTCTTTTGTCTGCTCATGATGTTTTCTTAACAGAGCATGACTTGTTTCCAATTGTTTTCCTTTGAACTTCAATTCCTGGAAAAAATCCCATTTCATATAAGTTCATTAAGCGTCATAACTGCTATTTACGATGAGATTCATTATATTTAAAAAATTGATATTCTTTTGATCATTATTCTGCGAAGGATTGGAAAGTCTTGCTTATTAAAATTATTGAAAACTCAAGTTTCCAGCCTTGATTTTTTAAATGTCACCTAGAATTAATAATGGCAACTAAGCTGTCAGGATTGGACCGACTTCATTGAAAAAAAACGGCCTTCACGAACTACATTTAACAGATTATTAAAATATTCAAGTTCATCCATTTATTTAAGCAAAAATGCATTTCCGTGATTATGTCGAAAGAACTTGCAGCGCTAGCGCCATAAAGCTGAATGAATTTTAAATAAAGAACCATTAATCTCCCTATATCTTTTTTCTCATTTTAAGCTTCAAATTTATTCAAACGGAAGCATACACACAATTATAACTCTTTAATTTATATCAAAACACAAAAAACATACATCTGCAGTCAATTTCTCAATCAAAGCGTGCATTTCAATCATACGCGCTCCCTTTAACCTACGAATTTCGTTTTCCATCGTTATTTTCTGTTCACGAGTAAATACTGCTTTTGCATCAGTACGCCGTGCATTTAGAACAGCTTTTGTCTCCTTTAATGCACTTTCATATGCAGAACGCATCCCATAGCGTTCTTTCAATTCCTTAAAAATCAAGAATTATTATCTTGTCTAAATTTAAAGTTGAAATTATAAAAATATATAAAGATTATTAAATAATTTTTGGTTATAACAGAGTAAGAAAATTTACCAGTTTCGCTTTCTCTTTATTGTGCTTATATTCCTTCTTTTGAGCACTGGAGAATGCCTTTAGCTCATTTTCATGCTGCGAATTTAACTGACGTCGTAACCTACGCTCTGTCTCATCATATTCACGGAGCTGCAAGGAAAAAATCCGATAAATGATACTAGCAAATTTTATATTCACATTCTGATATATGTATCTAAGAATCATCACTAATAAAATTCAAGTTTATATTTGAATCAGGAAAAAAGCACGATAACTCCTAACAACAACTTTTTTCTACTCACATTTTGCAATAGACCTACGTGTGCTTGAAAATTACGTAAGCTATAGCTGAAATAAAAAGTTCTACCTTTTTATCTTTTTCAGCATTTTGATTGTTACGTAAACGCTGAAATTCTTTACTAAAAGCATTTAAAAGATTTTCATATTCTTTATCAGCTTTTTGTTTAAACGACTCCATTTCCATTGCACATTTCTCATCGAGCTAAAATGAAAATATCTTTAAATGGTAAAGGAATAAAAGTAAGGTCTTCTATTCGAATGGAAAATTCAGAGTTCTACTATGAAGAAATTTTAGGAAAGACCATTTCACTCTTCTCTTGTTTCTGTATCACTGATCCGTCTAAAACTAAAATGACCTGCTTCAATTCCTTCTGATGTTGTTGACGTAAACGTTTATAACCGCTCATCTGTTCGTATATATTATTCTCCCTATTATATTCTTCCACTTCTTTTGAAATCAGTTTCGTCGTTCGCAACGTAGAAAACTTCGACCGTCGAAGAGTTGCCATTTCCTCCTAAAAAAAACTGTTTGTAATAAAAATCACTGCGTTTGTAATAAAAACCCGACATAGATAAGATAAAAATTAATGATAAAAACTGAAAACCGCGAATAAACGAAAACTGGAAGCATACATTAATCGGCCTCGCAGTTTCGTCTGACGCTAAAGTGGATGTTGGCATTTCTGACGAAGTTTCTTCAACAAGTGGTGATTCATGCATCGAATGCATGCAGTGGCTTCCTCCGTCACCAACGTGAATTATTGTCCGATTCTAAAATTGAATAAATGGTTATTTAAGGAAGCAGATATGCTAGAAAACATGAGTTTTCAATTGCAAGTAAGTATAAAATAATTTTAAAATTCAGCACATGCTCTGATAACAGTGATATTCTGAAATGTATTTCACTTGCTTGCTGATAATCGTAAAAATCAGACACAGAACATGTTCGTTTCTACCTATGTAAAAACTGATTTCACACTAAAAAATTACTTTGTCAATGTTATCCAACTCATCATTAATGCTGCTGATATCAGAGCCAGCTGATGAAAGAACACGAAGAGGAATAAGAGAACGTGGAGTAATGACCTTGCCATTGTCCCCATGATGAGTATCGGAAATAGGAGCACTTGAATGGTACGACTGGAATGAAGAAATCGAATTTGACCGCGAACTTGCCGAGCCACCTATTCCTGATAATTCTTCATCCTGCAAAACCATGTAAACCGTCTGAAATGCAATGCAATTAAAATACAAAAATATTTTCTGATTAAATGTAAGAGATCAATCCAAAAATAACAAAAATTGGATAAATCCGAAAGTCATTTAAACATCTATCATGATCTTCCGATCCATTCCAGTATTTGATATCAGTCTCTTTCGCCTCATATAAAATATTGTATTTCCTAACTCTTGTATTTTCGTAATTTTTCCTCGAATATCACGAGATGAATCATTTTGAAAGCATCTAAACAAATTCCATATGGTCATGCGATCGAAAAGAAAATCAGAAACTTCTCACCTGCCATAACTTCAATATTGTGACAATAAAAAAGTTGTCAAAGCAAGAGAAATGTTCAAAAATCAGCAGAGATCGCATCAATAATGGAAAAATTAAACAAAATTATACCGCATCATGCCGATCCGTTGTCATCGTATCATCGGTCCCAATACTTTGCTGCTCGTCAAGATAAACTAATTTTCTCATTTTCCTGTACTGGAAGTTGTCCAAATCGCTGACTAATGCCTTTGTTCTTGTTATCAATTCCAAAATTACACCATCCAAACGTCCTTTTACAATAAATGGATGCTATAAGCAGTTTGAAGTAAAAAATTTTGCCAACATTTTAGCAAAATGTAGAAAGTAGAACTTGTACATTTTCTTCTTCTTTCAGGAAGCAAATGCACTCATTTACGGCTACATTACTGTACACAAAGAAATGATGTAACAGAAACAAATAACTTACTTGTTGACAAGGACCTGTTTTCATTCTCTCTCGTGGATCTTTGTGTAAGCAAAGATCCACAAATGAGTGAAAGTCTGTAGACCACGCTGAAGAATTCTCGCCATGTGAAAGCGTTGGGGGATCATTTTGAGCAATATGATATAGCGCGGACATTGCATTCATGTTGAAAAGAGGGGGACGTCGTTCCGCTGAAAAAACTTTTACGGTGACAATTAATCACAAATTAATATTATTTCATTTGTTTTACGCTCACCAAGTATGAAGTCACATCCGCTGTTTTAATCACGTCAATGCAAAAATTATAAGAATTTTACCAAAATAAGAAAATTAACCTAATTCAATACAAGTAATTCCAAGAGACCAAATATCTGCACTCTGGTCATAGTGCCCTTCATCCATTGCCAAAATAACCTCAGGAGCCATCCAATATGGCGTACCGACAAAACTTTGAGCAGGACATAAAGTGGAAGCACTTCCAAAATCAGCTGTAATCAAATTATCTCAATGTCAAAGCCGTTACTCATCTCAATCAAAGAAACATTACTGATAGTATATCTAAGTGAATGTTGACAAAAATTTAACCAAATTAAAAAAATATTTTATATAAGATATACCATTTTTAACTTCACCGTTAATCCACACAAAGAGAAAGAAAAAAACAAATTTATATAGCAAACAGCTTACCAAGTTTAACGATGCCATTATCGGTTAAAAGAATATTTCCAGCTTTTACATCTCGATGTATACGTCCTAATTTATGCAGATAGGAGAGCCCAAAAAGTGTCTGCTCAATAATAGCAGCGATTTCACATTCCCGTATTGGGCTACGATGCACTTCAACTATATCTGCTGCAGAACCAATACAGTATTCCATCACTAACTGCAACATCCTTTATTAACTTATAGAAGCTAAATATTGTCATTAAAGAATGCCTGACTATTGTTGTTACAAATGAATAGCAGAATATGACATAATGACAATAAATTTTAAAGAGGAATTTTGCATTCTTTTCACTTTTGGATGATCAGCACTTCAGTTTATGTATAATTAAAAATATATTTCCGAAATTCATAGAAGTTACCCAACAAGTATGTTCTTTTAGATAACATGCCCGATATTCAACAATATTTTCATGTTTGATATTTTTCAGGAAGGACACTTCTTTGATGATATCAGACCACTTTTCAGCCGACTGTTTGCCGGAAAAAGCCATTTTCTTAATTGCGACCGTTGTATTTGTTTCCAAATCCTGCGCCTGAAGTGAATTAAATTTAAACAATCAATAAAAACTGTTCTTAAAAAACAAAACCAGAAAGAAAAATTTCTGTAAATCTGAAACAGAATTGGACATAAGAATTATGAAATTATAAAATGCCATCAAATAAGAAAAGCAAAATCACGTCTTAGAGTTTTTTCTGAAAGTTTTCAATAAAAGAAAACAACTGCTTTATTGAAAAATTTCACTAGATTTTACATAAAAAAATAAATTTTAGATAAGAAATCCATTGAGAAATTTCTTTATCAAAATTTTCATTGTGAAGTTCCTTCTTCCATCGAAGACAGAAGCAATGAAATCAACTGCTTTAAATCGGTCACTTTTGTATTCCATTCCTTTTTTCCGAAGTATGAGCAGCATACTTTGGCATATGAATATCATGATATCTCACTTTATATCATAACAAAAAAATATTATGATATAAATTGAGATATCATAATATTATTAAACATTACCTCACAATTAATTACCGAACTGAACGATCAAGAAAAGAATTAAAAAAGGAACTTACGAAGAAAACAGCTCCAAACGAGCCATGACCAATTTCACGCAGATCTTCGAAACGCTGTTCCGGATCTTTCACAGAGAATAACGAAGCAATAGCGGGATCCTTCAAGCTACCCGGTTTACCTGTTGACGCAGTCGGCATTACCAATATTTAGTACCCGAAATCCATAGGAAGTTCCGCAGAACTTGTCCGATACAACGCAAACTAGAAGCTATGAGGCACCTAATTGCTATCTCTGGAATTTCAAAATTCCATTTAAAATTAGCAACTTCATTAAAATCCCACGCATCATCTCATCCTTGACAAACAACCGCCAAATACATTTACACGTACGTATAAACGTGTTCACAACGCATGCATACGTGAACACCTGAACATACAAGTGCACATAAAACATAGAAATGTATAAACACATACAACATAATTCATATACATAACATACACACACATACACTCACACACACTCACATACACTCACATACACACACATACACATTACTAATCCATGACCACCGTACATTGGATCACGTATCCGAACTTTGCTTACTTTATTATTCGGTAGGCGGTATAATTTTTATTTTCCGCTGGGTAAATGTAATGGTAAGGATGGGGTTGGGTTTCGGGAATCTCGGGTTTTGGATAGGATTAAGGCAGTAAGTTATCTTCTTCCTTTCATTGTTAAGTTTTCTAATCACGGGTATGATATATATTATCGTATTTTCAGAAAAAAACCAAATATGAAGATGAACCCATTAATATTTCTTTTTATTCATATCTTACAACTTGTGCGATTAATTTTCACTCGCTTAAGCTAATTTATCAGTCATAATTAATCGTAGTTGCGAAATTTACAGGGAAAATATGGCACCACCAATGGCTGGGTTGATATCTGCGGGTGCAGTAAGTAAAAATAGTGAAGAACAGAGCTTGAAACGTTATTACAAAACAAAAATTGAGGACATGCAGGTGATGGTTATATTTTTTTTAATGGAAGCTTTGAAAGGATTGTTCAGCGGAAACTAATGTTAATGTAAGAATAATGAAGTATTTCTATGTATGAATGCTGTATAGATTTTTGATTTGAAGAATGCATAAAGGATTTTTAAATTTATGATTTCAGCAACGAGTTGCAGAAAAAACGCAAAATTTGCGACGACTTCATGCTCAACGAAATGAACTGAATACAAAAGTATATTTAGTCAGGATATAATTCACAATGTGATTTCACATTCATGTCAAAAATAGCTAGAAAATGGCTGAAGATTTTCAACATCGTATAATATGCTTACCAGTATTTTATAAATTATGTTGTTATTAGAAAAAATTTTAAATTGCAATTCTTTTAGGTTCGCATGTTAAAAGAGGAATTGCAACAATTACATGAGCAAGGATCCTATGTTGGTGAAGTATCGAAAGCGATGGATAAAAAAAAAGTGCTTGTCAAGGTTTGTTTGTTACTTTAAAATCTCTTATCTTGCTTACTACTTTTTTATATGTCTTTTATTCCACTGTTTTTTCAAACTTTAGATTAAATATGTACTTAAATTCTTTCCTTAATATTCTATTTTAGGTTCATCCAGAAGGAAAATATGTTGTTGATTTGGATAAGGGTATTGACATAAATAGCATCACATCGGGATGTCGTGTTGCTCTCAGAGCTGATAGCTATGCATTACATAAAGTATTGCCAAACAAGGTTCCGTTTACAGAATTTTAACTAGCGTTATTGTGTTACAGAATGGGCACTACGCTTGCATTTGCATGTTTACATAGGTAAATGCATGCTTTTTTCTGGCCCTAGAGTATATAGAGATTGCAGATTTTCGGTGTTTTGAAAGAAAAAAGGTAACTATCGAGATGTTACTGCTTAATCTACATAGCTGTCATTTATATATGCTAGTGCAGCTTTTAAAATCAGATTGTTTTGGAAACAGGTGTGTTTATTTGAAATAGTCATACATTGTGCAGTTTTGTTGATGTGTTATTAGTTTATTGTTTTCAATATATATTTGCATATCGAGTTCGTTTATGTGAGCTTTCAAATCTGCAGTTCTTTAATTGCTATTGTATTGATAACATAATTTGCATTTGACTTTTGTCTTTTTATAAAGAGAAAGTCCAACTATTGTAAATTGGTGTAACTTGATTTAAATTTATTCCAATAATTTTTGACAGATTGATCCTCTGGTTTCTCTTATGATGGTAGAGAAAGTTCCTGATTCAACTTATGAAATGATTGGTGGTTTGGATAAACAAATAAAGGAGATAAAAGAAGTGATTGAATTACCTGTGAAACACCCAGAACTTTTTGATGCATTGGGAATTGCACAGCCCAAGGTTTGTTCACTACACTATATTTAAAGACTCAATTATTTGTATTTCCTTTTGCTTTATTTTATTTTGATGATATGTGTGTTTATATATGTTTATATAAGCTTGTCGATCACCGTGTAGGTTCAAGTTTTAATTTTTTTTTTAACCATATTGAGTATCTAAAAGTGCATATAAGGCGATCAGATATTTGCAGGGAGTACTATTATATGGTCCGCCTGGAACGGGTAAAACATTACTTGCCCGAGCTGTAGCTCATCACACGGAGTGTACATTCATTCGAGTATCGGGCTCCGAATTGGTACAGAAGTTTATTGGGGAAGGTGCTCGTATGGTTCGCGAATTGTTCGTAATGGCTCGTGAGCATGCACCATCAATAATTTTTATGGATGAAATAGACTCCATTGGTTCATCACGTGTTGAAGGTAGCAGTGGTGGTAAGTCACTATTAGCTCTTTTTTCTGGATAAATGACTTAATTAATCGTAATGAACTTTTTATATTCATTCATATGTTTGCATTTTTTTATGCTGAAGCTTTTTTCAACAGGTGACTCGGAAGTACAACGTACGATGTTAGAGTTGTTAAATCAACTTGATGGTTTTGAAGCTACCAAAAATATCAAAGTTATTATGGCAACAAATCGCATTGATATTCTTGATCCTGCACTTCTGAGGCCAGGTTCTTTATTTTATTAGTTTCTTTTTACATGTATTTGAAATAACAATATTTTCAACCTGTTATATACATTTTCATACATTTTTATTAATCTTCAAGTTTAAAGTCGTTTGCGTAATCTGTTTCTTTATTTATTTTTAGAATTTATTCATTTCCAAATATTTCCTTGATACAAATCTGTTTTTGTAGGGAGAATCGACAGAAAAATAGAATTTCCTGCACCTGATGAGAAAGCACGTGCAGATATACTGAAAATCCATTCACGCAAAATGAATCTTATGCGAGGTATAAACATGAAGAAAATAGCAGAAGCTATACCTGGTGCAAGCGGTGCTGAGGTGAGTTATTTAGTTTTGTTATTCAGATTAAATTTAAGTTGTTTTGTTAAATTATTTCTATGATCCTACTTATTTGCAATAATTGCTTTATTTTTAAGGTCAAAGCAGTATGTACCGAAGCCGGCATGTTTGCTTTGCGGGAGCGTCGTATTCATGTAACTCAAGAAGATTTCGAAATGGCAGTTGGCAAGGTAAGATTGATTGTTAATCGATTAGTGTACTTTTGATTTTTTTATTGAGTTGAAAATGAATTTTTACCGGTAGTATTTTATAATTTTTTTAGGTAATGCAAAAAGATTCGGATAAGAATATGTCATTGAAGAAGCTTTGGAAGTGATCTCATTTTATTTGATGGTAACTGAGCAGTACACTGTTCGTTCACAGATGCTTTTAGATATTTCCATTAAAAAACGTTTCCACTACTGAAAATCTGTGATCAGACTCATCATTTGCATCCTATCAACTTGTATTTTCTGTGTTCAGAGAATCTTGAATTGGTGAATTGCACTTTTAACTAGAATATTTCTCTATATTTTTTTCCAAAGAACTGATTTTGTATGAAAATCTTTGAATAAAATTTATATAACTTTTAACAAAATTTCGCTCACGAAATTTTGTTTCATCAGTTGTTTTTCAGACAGAGTATTCGATACCGAGTATTTGTATTTTTTGAACGTTTTCCTTCCTGATGATTATTTAATATATTAAGTAGTTTGTTGCAAGCTTTCGTAAACTTTTATTTCTAGTAGCCAGACAAGTATTCAAGTAATCGTTTAA